GGTGTGTGTGTGGTCAGGAGAGCATGGAGCTGGAGACAACACGGTGGGTTTCGGGACTCCTGGGACAGTGGCAAGGCCTTGAACACATGCCCTACCTCTGCCCCCCCCCCCACATGCATTTTATCAGGGCTCTACTTGGAGGATGGAGGAAGGTTACTTAAAGCCTGGAACACAGAGATTTGGAGAGTTGCAGCCCCCAGATGCCCTGGGTGAGCGAGCAAAGGAGTTAGAGGAGGGGGAGCAGGTGCCTTCCCTCAGCAGCCAGACAGGAGGGGCTAAGTGGGGTGGGGGTGGCCAGACCCAGGCCAAGGCTTAGGACCCATCTGAGCATGTCGCCTGCTAAGGAGGAGTAGAGGCAGGGGAGGGGAGGGCGGGGAGGTGAATAAATAATAGGAAATAAAACTTCATGAAGCAGAAAATAAAAGGCAGATTATACAGATGTGGCAATTTGAAGGATCATTGCCTCTGTCCTCTTTTTAACTGCTGCATCTGGAGTTTTGAAGACAGCTTATCCTCTCCCTCCCTCTGCCAGGTCCCCGCCTGGCTGGAGGCCCCCTCAGGGCCAAGGCATGAGTAGGGACAGGAACCTCAAACACCTCACACCTCTGCCGGTGGCTTTTCCTAGGAAATGTGTGGCTGCCCAGGGTTGAGCCAGCTGGCTGGGCCTGTTCAGTGTGGGAGAGTCTAGGAGGGTTGTCTGAGGCGGACGCTCCGAGCTAGGTGTCAGTGTGGCCTTGCCTGAAAAGCAGTGTTTGTGAGTTCAGCGTGTGCAGGGATCAGGTGGGCTATGGCACGTACGGGCGCAGGTGGGGTCGACAGGCCAGACCTGGACGGTCGGTCAGAATGAGAATGTGTAGAAGCGGCCTCCAACAGAGAGGGAGTTTGGAGGCCTGAGACTCAGCGTCTATGCAGCTCTTCCCTCTTTTCATCTAAATTCATTTGTTAAGCCTTAATTTGACACTGTGCCAGGTGCTGTATAAACAGACATGGTCTCTGACTTTAAGGAATTTCCAAAGTGACACACACACACACACACACACACACACACAGCTTGTTTATTTTATTTTAAGTATTAATGTATTCCCTACCTTGTTCCTGGGAGGATTTGGGACAGCTCATAGGAAATGCATGTGATACATTAGTTAGATATGTATAAAAAAAAAAGCTTTGAGATCACAGAAAATAATGCCGCGGCTGGAAAGGGGGTTCTGAGTGGTAGCAGAGCCGATTTAGACTGCAGGTGTGGAGTCGCATAGTTGGCTCTCATTCCGTGTTCAGGAGAAGCACTGTTTGTTATAGCACTTGGGGCTCTGAAGGGAATGATTTCCTTTGCGCACCCCACCCCAATAAAAGAAAACTAAGTCCCAGTTCCCCACAGGACTGCCTGGGGCAGCATCCACCAGGGACAGGCAGGGTGGCTGATCCCAGGCTCTGCCCAGCGGGAGCACAGAGATTCAGAACATCTTGAACAAAGAGGTTCTCGATGCCCTTGCTTCTGTCCATCACCACTGGGACATAGTTCAGTGTTGGAGCACAGGTGGAGGAGACAGACAGGGTCAGGGTCTCAAGGGAGATACTAGTTCCGGGCTAGACCCAACCTAAGGTGAGGGTGGTGATTGGGTCTAGGAGGAAGAGGGGCTGGGACACACATCCTGTAGACTTTAATGACCAAGGAATCTCTCCTCTGCCCAGTCCTGTGCTATGTCCCTGAAGGACGAAAACTAAGAGATCAGTGAGGCAAAGAATCACTGGCTAAAATATGTTTTGTGCCCCCAAGTTATTGTCTTTCAAAGCAGGGAAGAACTCTCTCCCTAGTATGTGGAGTCAGATCCTAAGTCAAATTACGGGTGTAATAAGTGACATCTATATAGTACTCCGCACTTCCAGATCTACCGAGTAGGCATGTCTTAGAGACAGAACTCCAGGTCTGAAATTCAGATGAAAAATCTGGGCTAAAGGTTCCCTTTAGAGACTCCTCCCTGAAGTTCTTCTCAAAGTCCCAAGTCAGCCAACGAGGACCTCTGAGGGTGCAGGCACCGTGGAGAGCACTGAGTTTAAGGACAGTGGAAGCATTGAGAAAGGACCCTAGAATTCAGACCCAGGAGCAAGGCCCTACCTAGCTTTGGAAGGCTGCATTCCTCTTGGAGCAGAGAGGTAAGAGCAGGGTAGGGGGCATGGATGAGAACAAGAAGGGGGAAAGATAAGGAAAGGGAGTAATTTTATTTCAGAGTGACTGTCGGGGAAATCTCATGGAGGGAGCGCCATGTTGGTTCTAGCTGGCTTTGTCCCATCATGCATTTCTCCTAATTTGTCCTTTCAGAGCTCAGAGATTCTCAGCCTCTGGTACCAGTCCTTGTCTTTCAGATGATTTTGGCCTCACCCATACCGTCTCCTAAGAAAGATGGAATTGGTTTAGGCGAGTGACTCAAGTATGAACCCAAGGCCGCGAGCTCGGACAGACTCAGGGGTCTGAGATGGAATCCTCCAGAATGGAGATAAGTCTCCTCTGTTGGAGTCACACCTATGGGAGATCTGAGGACCCTCCTGGTACCCCGACATATTCCCATCTTCTAGGTCAGGATCTGGAACCCCAGAGGAATAAGAGAGACACTTCATCTGTGTTCCAAACGTGACACTGGATCCAAAATTCATTACATGGAACCTCTTGAGTAGAGGAAGAGTCAAGTGCAGAGGCCCAGCTCCAAACAGGACGGCTGTTGGAAGACAGGGATAAAACCCAGAGAAGGCAGGTTAGGATTCCTAGTGTGACTCACGGAGGCTTCGTGCTAATAGTTAACCTGGCAGGCTTTCCTTCCAGGCATTGTCTGAGGTGTTTACGTGCATAATTTCACTCTGTCCTCTGTGAGGTAAGTGGTGCTATTATCCGTTTTGTGGAGAAGCAAACAGAAATGTAAGAGGCAGAGTAACTCCCCCAAGGCCACACAGCTTAAAAAACCAAAAACCAAAACAAACCAAAACAAAAAAAGCGAAAGAAAACACGTGCAGTTGGGATTCAATCTGAGGCAGTCTGACTGTAGGACACCAGTGTAAGCCACATGATCATGTGGCCTACTGGGTCAAAGGTTGCTTGGTGTGAGTTTGGATGAGAAGACAATGTACTTGATGATTGAAGGCCATCAACAGTCTTTGTGGGTATTTCAGAGAGGGCTGGAGTTAGGGAAGGATGGAAGGGAGGGAGGGAGGGAGGGAGGGAGGGAGGGAGGGAGGACGGACGGATGACAGCTAGGTAGAAATGGGAACCAGGCAAGGAAGAAGCAGCTGGTAAGGCCCAGCCATCTTGGGAGTTCTTCACAGGCAGGAGGAAACCCAGTGTCAGCTACAGGAAGCAACAGAGTCCAAGGAAGGCGTTTGGTGTCCTTTTTGTCCTTGCCAGGCAAGACAATGGGCTAAGTGGGCCTACTGAGGGAGAAAAGTCCATGCTGGCCTTGTAGTCACAGCATTTATGAGCCTTCCTTTCTTCTGAGAAGAGGAGGGAGGGTAAGTGGGTGAGCCAGTAAGATGGCAAGGCACACTGGCAGCCAGAGCTGCTGGGGGCAAAGGTGTTGTCAGGGAGCAGTGTAGACAGGCCATTAGGAAGATTGGCCTATGGTGGATTGGGAAGGCAGGCAGTTTTCAAGACTGTAGGCTATTGTTTTTGTATGTTACCTTTTTCTTTTACATTTTTTTTTAATTTTGAAATAATTTAGACATACATAAAAGTTGCAAAAGTAGGACCATAGTTTGGTCCCCATTGGCCTACTCATTTATCTCATCTTTGTTTTGTTTGAGAAAAACGAAGCCCAGGCTAGCCTGGAACTTACTATGTAGCCCAGAAACTTACTATGTAGCTGGCCTGAAACTCATGGTAATCCTATATCAGCTTCCGAAGTGCTGGGATTATCAGAGCAGAGACCCAAGAACCAGGAAGAGATTCCACCAGGCATCACTCTGGGTTATACAGCCGTCCCAGGACCCCAGGGACGGAGCTCCCTTAGATGGAAGAAAGGCTGCAGTCCAACATGACCCTTCCAGGACATTCTGGCTAGTTTGATGTACCAAAGCTAACTTCCTTCTTAATAAGCAGGCTCCTTAACCCCTGACCTGCCCAACGACTCGGCGGTGCGTGCCTGCCCTCTAGTGGCCACATGCTAGAGTTGCAGCCCAATAATAACCACACCTCCAGCTCTGCTCACTCTCCAGGTTGACATGCTGAGGACGGACTGCCAGGCATCATCAACCCGGTGAAGCCAGGCAGCCACAGACTCCCAGCTCCAAAGGCATCAAATGAAATGGATGTTCTACATGAGCAAAAGCGTGCTGAGGCGTATCATATGATGTGGACAAACCTTTACTTTTTATTCTGGTATTAGAAATCAGGATGAGTGTTTAACGGGGTCAAAGAACTCCCTCACACCCACTTAGCTTGTAAGCCTCAGTTCTCGGCCATGTCCTATCTACCTACGCTAAGTTTTCTCCTCAGTACAACGAGACAGTTGCACTCTGGTGTGGCTGTTAACCTCTGCTAGATCTCAGAGTTGCCTAAGACCTTTTAGACGTGTGTGTGTGTGTGTGTGTGTGTGTGTGTGTGTGTGTGTGTGCACGTTCACCCGGCGGGTCTAGTGAGTCTCTGGTTGTGAGGCAGGAGTAGGCACAGATGCTTCTCCGGAAAGATAAAGTGTATCTTAATACCGACAGCTGGGAAACAGTGGGTGAAACTGCCAATCCATGAGGTCAGGGGCATTTTGTTCATTTCAAATCCCCTGGCTCTGACCATGTAGAGTGTCCCATAGCATCTGTAGAATGAAAAGGGGGTGGATGAAAAAATGTTTCTCAGCTCCAATAGGTTTCTAACTGTGTGACTGGGGTACGCACGTGAACACACAGAGCATTCTCCATACATACACTAACATCACACAGGGTCAGAGGAAGATGCAGGCTGCCGCACTGTAAGTAGTCCTGGCTACCCTAGTCCCCCTTTTCTTACACACTTACACACATGCTCCTTTGGTAGGCTCTATTTATTGCACACCCATTGGGTGCATGGGCCAGAGACTCCCCTGCCATGGCCCTAAGGACCAGCTCCACTTTGTGGAGCTCCAAGCCCTTAGAGTTATTACAAGCATTATGGGAAGGGAGGATGTGTGGCCCAGCAGGAAGGCAGGAGAGGCGACGTGTCGGTCGGAGGGTGGGCAGCAGAGGCCCCCGTTGGCCAGAAACCTCTTTGCACGCATGGTCAAACAGAGACAATGGTGGCGGCTCCCTGAGCCCAGTCTCCTCCCCCACAGGCATGGCCCTGTGTCCCGAGTCTCCAGAACCTCCTATGGAGAACAGGCACACCTGGGAAGGAGCCAAAACCAAGTACAAGGGGATTTCCCAAGGCAAGGCAGCAAATTCCTGGGAGCTGCCCTGGGAATGAGAAAGAGGTCCTGGCAGCCTCGGGAATGCAGCCTTGAGGGGCATCGAGGGTGGGGTGGGGCTGTGGAAGGCTGAGAACCCAGGTCTCCAATCTCCACCTCTACCACCAGGCAGACTCCCAAGGGGGGACTGTCACCACCCCCCAGCCCCTCACCCTCCACAGTGGTCTACACTTGAAGAGTCACCCTCACTGCACTCAGGAAACAGACTCCTTGTTCCGAGAGTTCTCCACAGAGCTCTAGAGGCCTCCACCCTTGCTCCTACTGAGTGGCCTGGTACAGACCACAAGCTCTGCTCTGCTGATTCACAATTGGGCATGCAGCCTTCACATCTGCCCTGGAGGCAATAGCTGATTGGAGGATAAAGCGGGCCCGTGCCATGTTAGATGCTCGAAGCTCGAAGCCCCACAGGCACCCTGAGCCTTTAACCTGCCATGGCCTCTACTCGAAGGCTGCCCTCTAGTGGGCAGTGCTGGGATATCGCTGCTTCTTAGGTCACAAGATGCTGGCTAGGAATTCCCAAGATGCCCCACCCTATTCTCCTGGGACCCTCCCCTGCTAGGTCACCTTATTCCAAAAAACAAAACTGTTCCCAGTGATGTGGCTGTCCTGGCTAGACCGCCTCAAGCTATCTCCTGGAAACCAGGCTCACATGTGCCCGGGAAATGAAACTGCTCTGTTTTAGGGGATGGAGCCTATACGGGACAAATTCTGCAAGTGGAACCAAGAACGGTCAGGGATAGGGTGACAGAGGAGCTGCCATTGTGGACGGTGAGCAAGTACGGCAGGATTGAGAAAGTTCTAGAGAGCCAGAGAATGGAGGATGCGGGGAAATGAGCCCCATCCTTCGTCTCAGAAGGGACGATGCCTCGTCCCTCACCACGGTCCTGGAAATGTACGGTTTCATCTCAGATCTACCCAAGAGCAGGGAGGGGTCAGTGTCTGTGAGGCCGCGATGGCTTCACAGCTGATTTCGGTTTCTCTTGGGGATGATCTTCCGGTAGGTTCTGCGCTCAGAGATGTTGCGTTTCACCTTGGCTGTGGTGGGGGCTTCATCCTGGTGCAGGGATGGGCTTGAGTGGGACTTCTTCAGGCTGGGCTTCGGCTCTGGAGTGCCTTCGGCTTCCCTCCCAAGCTGGTCTTCCCACAGGGCCAGGTCCCCCAGAGGAGAGCGTAGGCGGGACACCAGCAGCTGCACGTATGTCTCGTACCGAGTTTTCTGCAACACGTGAGTGACCAGACCACTTTAGTGCAACCCCGGCTCCTGAGGGCAGCTCCCAGGTGTCTGAAGCTAGGTGGTAGAGGCATGCCCCGATAGTTCTGCACAGTTCTTAAGCATCTAACATGGCATGGGCCCGCTTGACTCCAACCACCCTGAACAGCTGGCACCCGTGGAACAGCCCTCGCCCGCTAATACTCTCAAGGGCTCTGGGACTGGCGTCCTGGAATGTAGAATAGCATTCCCAGTTCACAGCCCCACTGGACCCTGGCCTGGGAGGTTAGTTGGGTGTAAATTATTTTCATGAACTTTATATAGGATGAATGGGTCAAGCAGACAAAGGGCCCAGATGGGTTGTGGTAGCCACAAGCTGGGTCCTTACCTTACCCAAAGGCCTCTGGGAAGCGGGGCAGTCACCACCATGAAAACAACCAATAAGACAAAGGGCTGGGCAGGGACTTTGAAGGCTGGAGGGGGAATGGGCTACACAGGCCCAGGCGGGCATGAACAGGAAACACATTGATGACGTCCCTTCCTGGCCTCCAGCTGGTGTCTGGCTAACTCTGTTCCCACACTGCGCCGTGCCAACCCTTCCTTTCTGGTGGGTCCCCACCCTAAGTGCTTTACCGTCTATGAAGCTGGTACATGGCACCAGGGTCCCAGAGCGTGCACGGGTACAAGGCCCTGGCAGAACTGGATTGTGGGTCAGTGCGGGAGACGAGAATTAGTGAAACCAGCTCCAGCTGAGACCATGTGGCTTGAGGGAGTAAATGGACAGACCTGGACAAATAGACTAATTCTCTCCATGCTTCAGTTTCTTCATCTATAAAGTGAGGATTGTAGGCTGACTATATATTACACTATTGGTACCTATCCCAGAATTGTTAATTGAGACAACCCATGCAGGCAACCAAGACGTTAGGGAAGTAATAGGAGGGATAATTCATGTTAGGAAAAGCTACATATAGTTCTCAGAGGATAAAGTAGCCTGTAACTGTTCTTGGGAATACAAGCAAAAGGTCCTTAGTGCTCACAGGGCCTCGCAATTTTTGCATCAGGCCAGGCATGCTGGTGCGCCCCTAGCCAGTCTTCCTGGTTTGGAGACAGAGACAGCCAGGAGAGGGCGGCAGAGGACCCAGCCAACAGGCCTGCTGGCCTGGTAGAGGGAAGACACCAAGCTGCTCACCTCGTGCTCCAGAAACTCCTTCCGCAAGCGGTATTCCTCCAGCTCGCGGCTGCGGCCCCGTCTTTCAGGCAGGTTTCTCTGCAAATCCAACAGGTCATCGGATGCAGCATCTAGGCAGTTCTCGTGGGATCGATGCTGCTCCTCCTGGGAGAGGAAGGCCAAGTAGAAGCTGACCCATCTTCCACCCCCTCGCTGTTCCCTGCCTCTCTGGAGCTTACCGTCCAGGTTGCACAGTCCCCATCCCCCGACCCCCCCCGTGCAGAGTGCTCCCCATATCCCGGATCTGTCCCATGCCTAGTGCTCTGCTTGGATCACCGCCTCCTTCCCTTGGGTGGGCGACTGCTTAGGGGGACCACACCCACTCTGCCCTCCCTGCACCTCTGGCTAGCTAGGTGAGGCAGTACCAGGGAGCTCTGGGCCGGGTTCATGGGCAGGATGGGCCTCACGAATCTTCGCTGGGAGCCCACTGCGGCTGGAAAGGGGGGTGCTGAGTGTGTGGCGGCTGCCAGGTTGATGCGTGCAATCCAGGAAGCCATTTCCTTGGCAGTGCTGCAGGAAAAGAAGTCATGTGTCCCCAAGGGTTCCCCAGTCCCACCATCTGCCCTCCCTATGCCTCATACCTCTGTGAGGGAGGAGGGAGAGGGGGAGGGGACGGGGGTGGCTACATTTTACCTGCCAGAGGAAAACCCAGGATGGTAACTGAGTTTGTATCTAATGTCAAAAACAGTCGCTAATGGCATTCTAGAATCTTGCATTAACATACAAGGATGAGGGTAGCGCCAATAGGAATCGGCTGTGCTCACATATTCTGTCTGAATTCCTAGCACCTTCCCAGCACATAACTTTAAAGTTTACTGGTTAAGATAGTAGCTCCCATCAGGGTTAGGACCAATAAACATTGAGTGTCAGGGGCACCGGGGTCTTCCCACTTCCCTCCCACTCGAGGGACTCACGGTGCCTGGAAGAGGTAGAGGCGCCAATCTGCAGTCCGAAGCTGGAAGACATGTGGCTTCTTGGTGTAGTGGGAGGCTGGGCTGGCTAGCGAGTGGTGCACTCCTACGGGCTCATCCACCAGATGTCCCACCAAACTCTGCCCATCCAGCCAGGGGCCCTCTCCCTGCCACAGACACGGAGGGCTCAGCGCACGGGTCATCAGCTGCCCATCCGCCCCGCAGTTCTGGTCCTCTCCTTGACCCCATTGGCTGGGTTCTAACTAGCACTGTAAAAACTAGAATGATGTGGCCCCCCCCATCATCTTTACCCTCCTCAGGCCTCTGTAACTGGTGTCCTGAGCGACCACCCCCAGTCTACAAAGTACTTGTCTATCCTCCTTCCCAGCCTTCTTCACCCCAGCCCTGGGATGTTGACGCCCTTCCTACCTTCAGAAAGTAGAGAACCATCCCTTTCAGTAAGGTGTGAAACATCTTCCAGCCTCGCTTGCCCCATGGCGCTGTCCCAAAGGGAGACACAAAGGTGGGTGGTGACAGTATGTCCAGATATACTCCGTACAAGTATGCACAGAGTCCTGGCACACACCTCTTACACCACCTCCCGTGGCTCACAAGGAAGCGCAGGAACACACGGCGCACACTAACACAAGAAAACGCGTACAATCAAGAGAGACATTGAAAGGCTCCATGCGCAGAGACGGAACCAGGGAACTACTGACATCTAAGTGGGCGTCCATGAAGACCAGCTCTCCCCAGTCGCACATCCTTAGGAACAAACAGTTTTCCCTCAGCCCGTCCCAACAGAGTGTGATGTGTTTGCCTTCTCAGGGAGCACCAACCCCCTTTCTCTCTCTTCCTAATTTCTCATCCTGGCCTTGCAGAGCAAAACCTGTTCTAAGCTACTTGGACAGAGGGAGGGGCCTGATTTCCCGTGGTTTATCCGTGGGAATCCCACTCAGGACAGTGTTAGCCACCACATAGTGTCTAACCCGTGGCTCTATTACAGCGATCTCTGCTTTGGTCAGGCAGCTCCCTTGGTCAAGAGCTTCCAACAGCCCTGGGAGCGAGCCCCAAATGTTGATTAGGGCAGATTTTATCCTTGCCATATATCATTCCTGAGTGGATTCTGCAATACTCTTTGCTCTGAAATGGGTGTGCTCAGACCACGCAAAAATTCAAACCCTCTTATCTTACAAGGTTCCATTCAGATGCCGTCATTTGCCAGAACCTCCCTATGCCTGTCCCTGTAGCTAGTCCTCAGAACCAAACTCAAACACCTCTCCCTCCCCCTGGCCTCATACTCTGAACAGCCCTCCTTTCTCCTTCACTGGAGACACGGATGTGCATGTCTAGTCTCTGCCTTACCACAGGGGCGCTGGGGCCTGGGAATAGCCAGAATCCTTTTATCCCAGCACTCAGGAAAAGAAACACAGGTTGCTTGTTCTCTGTCCCACAACAGGTCCCTGAGTGGAGCTCTCCCTACATGCGCCTTTGCTCCCCGTCTGCAGACACTCACTCTTCTTGCCGTCTGCATCGTGATGCATCTTCCGAGCCAGGATGCCCTGCTTATAGGTGGGCACTGTGGGGTCCTGAGCCATCTGGAGGAAGGGGCTGCTTATCTTGCCAGCTGAAGGAGAGGGCTGGTCCTTCTCAGGACTGGCTGCATCCTCTTCATCTCTGGATGGCAGAGAACCAGGGTGGAAATGGGGAGGAATGTAGTAGGAGCCTCCTCAAAGAAAATCTCATCAAAAGCTAACCTACCAACCCCTGGAAACACGGCTGTACCCCACCCCTCACCAGCTCTGGCTTCTCCAGCATTGCCCAAGTTCCTCTGCGCCATCTGCGCTGTCCCCCTAACTGGCCTCGCCTCCTGCCTCTGGCATCACCCGCTCAGGAGGACCCTGACCTCTAGGTGTCAGGTGGGCAACAGTGGGTAGACAGGCTCAGAGGCAGGGATGCAGCAGCACAAGAAACAGAGGGAATGGGGAGTGCTCACTTACACAGCCCACTCGAGCTTCTCACTTCGGATGGACCAGTAGAGGGCCTGGAATAGGAGCATACAGGTGAGTGGAGGGTCCATGGTACCTACATTCATTTTGTCGGCAGACATCTGGGGGTATATGTAACACCTCGTCCGTCTACCCCATCACAGTTGCCCTGCTCCCGAGCAGGCAAGCATTCACGGTCCATTTATCCATCTGTCCACCCTTCATTCCATCCCTGTGCTGGATACTGGAGACACAAAGATATCGAAGTGGCCAAGGCTCTGCCCTGCACTTAGTAAATTCTAGACTGGCTCTTTGAGAGAGAACTTGGCTCACTCACACACTATCCTGTCCAGGGGTATCTGATAGAGAAGGAACTTGGCTGAACAACACTCACACAATGCATAGTTGGCAGATGAATGAATGGATGCTGGGTTAGAACTGTGAAGTAATTCGTCTTGCTTGCTTTTACAGTGCTTGGCGTTCCTGGCAAGGTACTCAGTACACAGAAAACGTTCAATAGGTTGATCACTCAGTAGATGAAAGAGCCAGCGACCCAGTCGCATATGAAACGTGTGTGAGCCAGGCATAGTGCGTGACAGTTGACATCCTGGATCATTTTTCCCGGTAGCAGCTTGAGTTGGCCAAGGGGCAGAACTCAAGGCAGAACTCAAACTAAGATCACCCATCTCCCAAACCTGAGACCAGGGTTTTCTTTATGTGGAACTTCATGTCTCAATACACCAGCACTTGTCAGACTTCAAAGGGGTAACATTTTCAGATGCATAAAGTGTGATTCTGTAGGTCTAGTGATGTCAGTTTGCACAGCCGACAAATCCCAAGATACCACTCGTACTCCCAGACAGGGACACAGGCAACCCTTGTCCTCATAAGGACCTCTCCTCCAAGCCCTGTCTGAGCTCTACTTTCCTCTTGGAACTGGAGTTCCAGGCTGCAGACGGAGAAGCAGGGAGGGTCCTGGCTTTGGAAGGAGCCTTACCTTCAGCAGCTCCTTGGGGAAGTTCCTGCCATCCTGCAGCCCATGAAGGTTGGTGATGAATTCCTGGCAGCTCATGCTCTTTCCAATGTTCTGTGGCCATGGAGAAGCGGGACAGTTTGAACATTCCACCCCGACTGGAATATACCTCTAGGTGGTCACTGGGGAATTCCAGGGCCCTGCCCTGACATATTCCCAGCCTCTGGTCCATTCTTCCTCTCCTCACCATGCCACAGCCCCCTATCAGCTCTCTAGATGTTTTTTCCTCCTTACCTGTCCATGTAGGTCTGTGTTAAGAAGCATGATGGCGCAGGTCAAGGTGTGTATAGAATCTGTCCCCGGGAGAGGCAAGCATAAGGTTCATTGGAATCTGACATCTGTGGCTTCTGCCCACACTGAGGGTGACTCCCCCCTCCCCCATTTCTCTATAGCCCCAACACACTCCAGCAACTGCTGACTAATGAACCCCAAGTAAACAGGGCTATTTCTATGCTACTCCAAAGTCCTTCTGCCCCACCCCCGGACCCACCCTTCATACCTACTGAGGGGAAGGCCCCAGGATTGCAGTAATGGAAGCGTTTGGAAAACTGGTAGAGAATTCGTTCCCGTTCCTGAGTCTCTCCACTGAGCACCAGGGCCTGGAGAAACCCCCCTGCCCAAGAAAGCTAGGATTAAGCAGAGCCACACTCCCAGGAGCTTGAGACCGCTGCCCTGCAGCTGTCCCTAACCACCCACACACCCAACTCCTGCCTCCTCTGAGGGCCAGAAGGCCTTACCGCAGGGCTCGGTCCAGGCTCTGGCCTTCGAACTGGAAGAAGGACAAGTATGCCTCAGCCACAGCCCTGCTGAAGTCATTGCTGTAGGGGGCAATGGAGACAGAGTTGATTCTGGGGATCAGGCTGAGCTGCAGGCACAGAGGGGACCCGGGGCGGCCAGAGCCAAATGAGAGAAGATATAACCAGGCTCGGTGCCAGGTCCCAAGAGAGCCCGCCCCTGCTACTCGGGTCAATGTCTCCTGTGAGGGGCCATGTGGAGTCGGGGATGTCCAAGGGGAATTTCAAGGGAGACTGTGAAGAAGCAGAGTTGGCCAAGAGTGGGCGTGAGGAGATGGGATGGGAAGGCCCCAGGATGAAGATAGAGGGATGAGGGGTAGTGATAAGGCTGGAGAGAAACAAAGGGATATTGTTCAGGGAAAGGTGAGAGTGAGGTGGCCACTGGAGGAAGCCTGTGGGGAGTTCCCTCCTGTACTGCCTTACCCTTGTGTCTCAAAAGCTCCTTACTTCTTGCGTAGGTGGGAGGCCACCTCAGACTTCCGGAAACCATCCAGGTGATAGAGACGCAAGGCTAGGTCCCAGGCCCCCTTGTCACTTCTGTTGTTATTAGCCAACTTGTCTCTAGACGATGGCCTCCAGCCTTCCTCTGGAAATTGAGCTTGGGCAATGGGGCTCCTAGGAAGCCTAGAAAAATCCATTGGTGTCCTCAGACTCACACTTGTGTGGAGATGCATGTCAAGTGTCCTCCAAGGACATGGGAAGAGATGGCCAGAGCTCCGGGCTAGAGCTACAGCTCTTGGGCCTTGAATGGTGGGGTCTGGAGAAGCTGAACCCAGACCCTCAGCATGGAGAGATGGGATCCAAGTCGGGCTGGGCTGGTACTAGGAAATCTCAGAGAAGAGACCCTAGGGGATTAGAGCCAACCTGGTGCCACGTTTCCCCAGATTAAGCCGCAAAGATGTTTCAAGCTTATCCTATCTTGAGTGGTGGGTGGAACCCTTTGAGGACCTCAGTGGTGTGTTGTCCACACATAATGAGGTAGTGTCCTGGCTAGTTTTATGTCAGCTTGACACAAGCTAGAGTCATCCGAAAGGAGGGAGCCTCAATTGACAAAATGCCTCTGTAAGATCCAGTTATACGGCATTTTCTTAGTTATTGATGGTGGAGGGCACACTGCCATGATGGGTGGGGCCATCCCTGGGCTGCTGGTCCTGGTTTCTATAAGAAAGCAGGCTGAGCAACAAGCCATGAGGAGCAAGCCAGTAAGCAGCACCCCTCCGTGGCTTCTGCATCAGCTCCTGCCTCTAGGATTCTGCCCTGTTCCTGTCCTGACTTCCCTCATGATGAACAGTGCTGTGGAAGTGTAAGCTGAATCTTTCCTCCCCCAGTTTCTTTGGTCATGGTGTGTTGTTGCCGCAGTAGTAACCCTACCGTAGACTGGTAGGCTCATTTCCCTCTCTGCAGCCATCCTCCAGCCTCTATGCCCCAGCCCCAGTCCCACACCCAACTCTTAGTTCTAGATCCATAGAGGATGTAAGGCGTGAGGGTCAGGCTGGGAACAGGGAGTCAGTCTGACTTTAGGAATGGCAAAAACTGGAGGAGTCAGAGGAGGTTTCCGATGTACCCCTTCCCCTGTCTGACAGCTCTTACCATATGACCTACATGATAGGCATAAACAGACCACACCACAGAGAACACCTAAAACTAGGATTCTCAGTCCTAGTCCTACCTGATGCCTGTTCCCCTGAAACCTTACAACCCAGATGTCAGGTATTGTAGAAATTTACATATTCATTATCTAAGTGTCCAACTAGGAAGTAGAACAGATAGGCTAACTTGAACCAGTCACTGAGAAATGGCTAGTCATTGGAATTCACCCAACAGCCTCCACACCAACGAGTGGGTCAGTGGGTGGGTAACTCCGCTGGTAGCTCCTTGTTTCCTAAACATCCCATCCCTCAGGAATAAATACAACACAAATACACGCAGAAAATAAATACAAGAGAGTCACTGAAAAGTGAAATTCCAAACACCGGGATTTCACGAAGTCCATGAAAGTAGCACTAGAAGTCTGTAGGAATCACAAGGAAAACCACTGGCAATGGGGAAGGGCCAGTCCACTGAGCTGATGAAGATGAAATAAAAATAGCTAGGCAATTGTCACATCTAAAGAGGATCATATATATGGTAAACCAGTTGAGGAAGCCCTAGGATATGATTTAACAAATGACTTAGTCAATAGCATTGTTGTTAAAACTATGTATAGATAGGAAGGCATGTTGGGGGAAAACTATCTAATGTGGAAGTGTATATGTTAAATCAATAAATCATATGCTATATGAGTTATAGCCCCATAAAGCTGTATTTTTAAAAATGCTTTCACTATTGAAAGTCAAGTATAAATGAGTGAGGCCAGGGAAATCAAATTCCCTACATACTGTTAAATATAGTATTTATTTATATCGTATCTGGTGCCATTTACCCAGGTAAAATCCAAGTAATAACTGTCTTTTCTTTCATTTTCTCTGAAGGGTTGTCATTTTAGGTGAATTGACTTGCTTTGGGCTGGGGTTGGATTTGCTTTCATCTTGGGTACAATGAACATCCCTTTTCAAATTCCAAAGTCTTCTGTGGTTACCCAGCCTCTGAGAGGCTCCAGGCCAACAAGGCTTCCAGATTCACGAAAAAGACGGTTGTTTGATTGTGACACCTACTGACATTCTATTGCTACCACCCAAGGGTCCTGAAATGCGAGCAGGGTTCACCTTGTAGTTGCCACACATGGTCTGATCCCCAGGTGGCTTCTGTTAGTCCCTTTAATATGAACCCTATTTAGTCACCCAGAAGAAAAGTCCTTTCCCCATGTAGACTCAGAGAGCCTTGAGGTAATATACTGAGGCAGGCAGGTACCTCAGCAGGCTTCCTTGTGGGCCCATTCCTACCTACAGCTACAGTTCTGAGGTTACACAATTCTTGCTGTAGTATCCCAGTCCAAGTCAAGGGTCCCCTTGCTGAGATCCCACGCAGTACCTGGGCCTAGATACGTTAGTGAATTTCTTCCATTTAACATCAAATTCAAAAGCAATCTGTAATCCCTACTCGCTGGTTCATACCTACAAACCAAGCCTTCAGGGCTCCAGTCAGGTCCCCCAGACTTCTTCCTTTCCTGGTATCTATCTGGGGACACTAATTGCTTCTGTATGTTTAAGTCTCTGTAACAGTCTGCTCAGGATGCTTTTGAACATTCCAGGCCTCTGAAAGTGTACTCACGTCATCCTGTATAATCCATGCAACGTGGCCATGGAGACTGAAGTAAGCATTAGCACATTAAATCCAGTGTGCGCTGCTCATGCTCCACTCAAACCAGGGTATTCTTAGCACAAGACAATTAAGAACCCAGGAGCCAGCTGGCCTGAGACTCACCCTTCGGCAGAAGTCAAGCGACCATGGTATCTGGCGGCTGACGCTTCCTCAGTCCTGGCTGTATCATCTTCACATTCTGCCTCCTGCCTCAGGTTTGGGGCTTCCTCTGTCTCCTCTATCTTCAGGGAGCTTAAGTCCGATTCATCCTTCTCCAGGAGCAAAGGGAATGAGGCATCTTGTGGCCACTTGGGGCTGTGGAGCTCGATTTGTGGACTGCCCTCCTGGGAAGCCACTGGGCTGGGTCCGCTGGGCTCTAATGAAGAGGCTTGGCTCCCCCAGGGGGCCAAGGTGCAGAGCATGGGCTCCTGGAAGCAGCCAGCATCCTTCTCACCTGAGGAAAGGCGGGCATGAACACACTCAGGGCTGGAGGCACAGCCTGGGACAGGGCACCTCCCTGGGACAGGGTACCTCCCTGGGACAGGGCAGAATATCCTGTTCTGCTGCAGACAGTGATCTCTCCCTGTCTATCTGCTGGTGGTTTCCAGGACTCCATTCCCCATACAGCTCAGGGTTCAAGACTTTTACTGAGCCAGTAAGACCCAGACATGAAATGTGCTGCGTCTTGTGTATAGCTCTTCATTCTATAAATATTGGAAAGCTCATTTTATCTGTGATGGCACAGAAGAATTAATCCTAAGCATATCTGGCTCCAACACAGTACAATCCAACAAGGACTTCTGTCCCCACTGAATCCCAAAGCCTCCCACCGCTCGGTTTCCCAGATCCCCAACTGGATCTCACCTCCATTCTGGGAGATAAGAGGCTCCTGGGGCCTGGAATGGTCCTCAAGTATGGGTGGAGCCAGGTCCGAGAGGCTCTGGGGTGTCTGTGAGAGAAATGAACAGAGAGAATGAATGAAAGAACTGTAATGAATGATGTCAAGACCACATGGAAGCCCCTCTCCCTTCCCAGACCCCATGGACAGCAGGCTGGGTCCTCAGTTCAGAAGAGGAACGGTGGAGGGGAATGGCACCACACCGGAGGGCCCTGGAGACCAGTGAGGTCAGGGTTCTTCACAGGTGGGAAGGCAAGTCATACGGGGAAAGAGACTTGCCCAAGGCCGCACAGGATGTAGGGTGGCAGGACTAAGGTCCAATCCAAAGTTATCTGATTCCTGGGTCAAGTCATGATCCACAGAGGTCGTCTTAGGTGAGCCTGGGCTACAATCATCTTCCGAAGAAGTCTGAAAGAGGGAACCCTTGATTTGTCCACGAAATCGTTCCGGGCCCTTCCCCACTCCCTGTAAGACCTTTCCTCCTTGCAGACTGTCCAGATGGCCCCACATGTGGATGATGCCCACCCCCTCCTGGGCGGGGTTCCCAGGCTTCCCTCTAAGGACTTAGAGCCTTGGAGGGCGGTCCTGGGACAAGGCATCTCCAGAGGACTACAGTCCTCTGATCCCCATTGTTTTCTGGGAGTGGAGAGATTAGGTCACAGCCTTCTCTGCCATTTTGAGTTCTCCTTATCTGTAAAGCAGAGAATTCTGGGAAAACTGTCCCCTGCTGGTCTCACATAGCTTGTGACAAACCCTGATTGATATAAAGGCTCCTATGCCATTGTCATAAGGGCCAGGTCTACTGACCCTGCACAACAGGAAAATTCAGGGTCCTGAGCTAAAAGTAACAAGATGCTGAAACCTCTCAAAAGAGAGGACAAGTCTCCTAAAATAGGCAGCTGTCTGTTTGGGGACAAAGGTCGTCTTAGGCTGCTTGGTGACAGCTATGGATGCCTGGAAGGTAGAGGGGAGGATCCCAGAATGGCTTGGAACACCAGGAAGGGTGGTGCTGCCTGTTCACTAAGCGTCATTTAGTCTTAGCTCTTTGAAGTTGGTGACATGGAGACTCCCGGTCTTAATTGCATCCATGTTCCAAATGACATTATTGTACTGATAAAATTTCTGTTTATTCTGAAGTCTAAGACATGAGTCAATCTTTGTGTGTAAGAGGATGTGTGTGTGTGTCTGTGTCATGTCTATGTGTGTTGTACAGAGGCACATAGGTGCCTCTATGTGTGTCTGTCTACATCCATGTCTCTGTCTCTCTGTGTGCGTGAGCGTGGTGCTTTCGGGTGAACGTGTCCAACATGGGGAAGACAGAAGTTGACAGTGTGTTTTCTGTTGCTCTCCACCTTATTTTTTCAGACGGAGTATCTCTTGCTAAACCTGGGGCTTGCCATTTTGGCTAGACCAGCTGGCTCTTGGGATCCTGGAATCCAAGTCATCTCCCCAGCTGTGTACACATTAGTCAGTTTGGTGTTCTCTTACATTAGATGCCCCAAAACTCTACCTTCTGAACAGTGTCCCATGCCTGTGCCTGAGGGAATCCGCCTGCCCCCCACCATGTCCCCAGCCCACCCTCAGCTGGCTCCCTCAGCTAACTTACCTCACCCTCCTGATCAGGCGGTACTGTAGGAGCCCCTTCAGTGGACCTTAAGGCCAAGCAGGGGTGCAGCTTATAGGAAGGCACAGAGAATGGAGGGGTGACACACTCCCTATGATCAGCAGTGTGGCTCCCCAAGTCCAGCTCACTTCCTGAGAGCCCTGTGCCTTCTTGGAGTGAAGAATGCAGGGCTTGAGGGCTATGAGGCTTCATATCTGGGTGGGAATCTGGGCACCCCCAGGAAAAGCATTCTCCTTCAGTACTGGTGTCTGAGTCAGGGCTCTCCAGGAAGAGGGGATTGTCAAAGAAGATGCTGTCCTCCTCAGCACCCCACTCGGGGGAGGAGCCTGACATCTGCTCCCTCGGCCAGGCCTGTTTTTCCTCCTCAGGCTCACTGCTGTCATCTCCAGGGTCCTCATCCTCCTCCTTGGGCAGGCTGGGGCTCAGGCCCACGTCACTAAGGAAATCCTTGGTGGGTGGGGGGATGCAGCACCTCAGTTCTGCCTTGAGTCCCTCGGTTTTCTCCAGCTCCTCCTCCAGGTCCAGGACGCACATCTGGGCCTGCAGGATGCCAGCCCAGAACACCACCTGTGTGGATGAGCTCGGGTTCTGCTGCTGTGGACTCCCCAAAGGGCAGTTGTCCCCCACCGAGCACAGCGATGCTGGAGTCTGCCTGGTCTCCCCCTCGAAAGAGCAGCTTCCCAGGCGAGCGGTCTCCACACCAGAGCTACCATGATGAGCATCAGTCCTGCTGGATTCCGGGGGGTCAAAGGGCCAGGTGTGTTCCTGGCAAGGCTCAGAAGGGCCTGGATGGTCACGTATTTCATTTGGACGTGTCCCTGGGCAGGGCTGTAGGTTGTCTTCCAGGTGAACGTTGAGAAATTCCATGGGCCTGAGGTCCTCCAAGGGTCTGTTGTCACCCATCATCTACAGAGTGAAGGCTGAGCAGAAGCCCTCGGTAGTGTCCGTTTTCACAGTCCCATTTCATGAATCAGTGGGCGCGCAAGCCCAGGTGGAAACTGGAAATCCACATCTAGCCTGTAAATTCCCAACGTGAGTGCAGATTAGAGAAGGACCAAAATCCACTGAAGTCCTTAAATTGTGCAACTATACAGCACATAGGGAAGCAGCCTATGTTCTGGCCTTGGGCACGGTGCAGGCCCACAAACAGGACCTGTATTCTGAGACGGTAGTTTTACAGGCCGTGGCTCTGCTGGCCTGGTACCCGCTGCCCCTGTGAGCCTTCCCTCTCTCCTTGCCTCTATAGCCCATGTCCAATTCATGCACACTCTGGCTTACAAGTCTTTTGGGCTTTCTGCTGCCCTCTCGATGCCCTGAAGTGTTCTGTTTCTGCTGCTCCTACCCCTGCCTCTGCCTTTTCTAATTCTAACTGAAGGGGTCCCGTGAGGCTCAGCATGAAAAGAATGCACGGGTCAGATCAGGTCTTTCTCTTTGAATTAGAGAAGGCTGCTTCCCTATGTGCTATGTAGTTGGGCAATTTAAGGCAGAAGCAACTAAAGGAATCTCCACTCACTCAGCCTCATGAAGGAGGCTCCAGCCCCCCGCCCCCACCAAGGAGCAGAGCATTTGTTTGCTAAAGATGGGAGTCTCGACTTCCAGAAGGGTGAGACCAGAAATCAAAGGCCGAGTGTGCCTGAGGTTCGAACTCGGAGCGAGCTTTCTGGTACATCACTCCCGACAGTAGTTGAAGTGGGCCCTCAGCAGGTGAACCAAGAAACATATGGAATGTCGCTGAGCAGCAGTCTCTACCATCTCCACCACCCAGGTGAGATGCACAGTAATATGGCTGCCAGAGTGGCCCAGATTCCTCTTACTGACTGGCTCGTTTTAATCTGCTGGACACTGAAACTCATGGTTTGGGACCTGCTTCCTCTTGTGTTGTCGCCAGGAAGTGCAGATCTAAGCACACAGACGTATGACATGTGTTTCCAGTGTTAATCACACCCTAGCTCTATCCAATATTTCCTTAATTTCCGTTTGCTTCACTTCCTTCAAACATAATTCTATCTCAGCTGTAGGTGTGCTTGTGTGTAGGTGGGGGAACAGGGTCTAAATGAACACGGGAGATGCCTTCCCAATCTCGGCCACTGCTGACTCCATACAGCCAAGAATGACAGCCCCTTCTATGTGCCCAGTTAGCTGTGCCTATGCTCACGGCCACCTGTATAGCCCGGCTCCTGGAAGATGACTACACCCCTGCTGCCTCTTTGTCACAAAAACAAGGAAGCCACAGCCCGAACCTGACTTAATGCCCATAGCTGGAAAGGGTGACCCAGCTCCAACCTCAGACACTCCTACCTTTCACTCCATGGTTTCCTCAGCCCCTCCCTGCTGAAGGAACCTCTCCCTGTGTCACAGGGGTTTGTGGTCCAGCTGGCTTCCGCTAGCACCACCTCCGTGGAGCCTTGCCCAGGCTCCAGACCTCAAACTGTGTTCCTACCTCAGGCAGGCGTTAAAGAGGGTGGGGGTGGTCTTACCCAGGGTATAGTGTCCTGAGAATATATAAGAAACCTGCAGGCCACAACCCCAGAGAACCTAGGTAACAAAGAGGACCCGAAGAGAGACATAAATGGATCTGCCTAAGAAGGGGGGGAAAAAGACAAGTTCTCCTGAGTAAAGTGGGAATGTGGAGGGCAGGAGGGAGGGTGGAAGGGGAGATGGGGGAAGGGAAGGGGACTGGGGAAAAATGTATAACTCAATAAAAAAAAAAGAAACCCATGGGGGCAATTCAGTTCCTCCATGTCAAGCTTGTTCCCTATGCAGCTGCTCATTTCTCTGTAAGAGGCCTCAGACAGTCCTACTTCTGTTAGGGAAGGGACACATATACCTCAGGTCCTGCTGGAGTTCGTGCCCTCAAAGGTTCATTCATTATAGTCTTGTTACCAGCTTGGCCCTAGTGGATGGCACTAGAAACTTTACAAGGCTTCCTCTGGGGGGAGGGGCCACTGGAGGCATGCCCATGAAAGGGACTGGGCCATGCGTTGAAGGGCTTTGCCTCTGCCATGTGTTTCCACCACAAAACCAAAACACTGGGGCCAGTCAGCCGCCGTCTAGAACCTTCACCACTGTGAGCTGAAACACAGGCTTTTCTTTACAGGTGAGTTTATCTTTTCAAGTATTTGTTACAGTGGCAGGAAACTAATATTAAGATACGCTCCTATCTAAGCAACTTCCCTGAATTGGGACCATCACCCTTGGGCCTGCCTGGTAGAAGATAATCCTGGAAGATGAACGTGGACTATCCATGTTAAGGGCCACTGGGCCGAGTGGTCCACACTGAAGCTGGCAGAGAAGCAGGTAAAGAAGCCCTCTGGCGACAGGTGCCGGAGGATGAGGCAACTCAGCCCCCCCCCCTCCTCCCAGACTCCAAGGCAGTGCTCCACACCCTCCCCCTCCCAGCTAAGCCCTGCTCCCTGTAAATATGCCAGGCTCCCCTCCTGTGTGTGATTCCCCCCTTGTCCTCATCCCTGACCCCCATACGTCACATCTAGATGTGTGTCAGCCTCAGGTCCATCTGAGCAGGTATCCAGGACAACTCACTCACTCTCACATAGAAGTCATTCGAAAGGCCGTGTGCATGTGTGGTCTTGGGAATGGGAGCAGGAGCACCAAAGCCTAGAGGGAACCCACGTGTCTCTTTGCAAATAGGCACTTACACATACATTCATGTATGTGCATGAAGCAGTAATAGCGGAGTATGTTCATGGCTACCGTGGACATCATTGAATATTGGGTTTTAGTTGGGTTTGCCTTCCTAGAAGAAATCCAGTGTTCCTCCCTGGAAGTTTTCAAAGATGGTGGGACAGGGGAGGATGAGAGGAAATACAGTTTGCTAGAGATCAAAGAGAACAGAGCAGATCTCTGAGGTCTGGTATCTGAAAGACCTAAGGAGAGAAGGGTCTAGGAGGCCAAGGGAAATTGAGGTAAAGGGGAAGAGAGGTGAGTTCAGAAAACACAAAGGCTGCTGGTTGGTATGTGGTTTGACAGGGCCAAGATTCTTTTAAAACAATTAAAGTCAACCAGGCTGCATTCCACAATGCTCTATTTCAACTCTGAGTGGTTTACCCAGGGGGCTCTTGCTGCCCGGAGGGAAGCTTGGAAAAGGCAGGTTGCCTGGGGTTTCCTGCTCACTGTGGAATCTCATTACCAGGGTGGTGGATTATGTTTTCTCCAGTCCCACCCACAGATTTCTTGGAATATCATTATCCTTTAGTTCAAGTGGGTCAAAAAAATCCAAGACTGGTTTTGACTTGAGATGTCCCGTCTCTTTATATAGGGTTCTAGAGCCTGAAGGAAGGCCTTAGTTCCCAGAGGCCAGGCCATATGGGTGGTGTACACCTTCATGGTGGGGTTGATAATCTTAGCAGATAAATATGTAAGGCATCTGGGCATGTAGATGATAGAGTATTAATCTACCATGTGCAACACTCTGGGTTGATACCCAATAAAGTTTTTAAAAGAATGAAAACAAAACAAAACAAAGATCCAGCACTCCCAGTATCTCTGACACGCTTGACACATCCTACTAATTTATCAGACATTCAAATTTAACTGGGTATTCTGTGTTTTATCTGGCAACCCAACACCATGGGAGAAGATATAGCTTGTGTTATCCAGCCCCTACAAATAGGCTCCTTACCCAGCTATACAGCCATGAGCTCATCTCTTACCAGGATCCCCAAGAATGAGGCAAACCAAACCAAAACACCACTAATCTCTAACAAGGAAGCTGAGGTTCAGAGAGGTTCACAGAGTTTTCTGAGTGGCTCAGCAAACAAGCGAGCAAGCTGGAGTCTGGACCCAGGTGCAGAGCTCCACTAAGCAGCACTTGCTTCCCATCCACAAGTCAATGTGCAAGAATTCTTCCTCTAGGTGTTCAGTATCCCTTCCTGAATGGATGGGCTGGATGATCTGAAGGCTGCGGCCCTTCTGATGGCCATCACAGCTGCCCTAGCAGTCACCTGGGTGAAAACTGAGACCAGTGGCCCGCCCCTATGAAGAAACAAGAGTACATGCATGTCTTAGGCATGCTTCTATAGTTTTCTAGATTTTTCTTCACCTCCCGAGTCCAGTGAAATCTCTTCCTGCGCGTGCCACACCAGTTTCATACGTGTATTAGCTTATTTTGTATTTGTGAGTGAGGACAACTTGAGGGAATTAGTTCTCTCCTTCCATCATGAGAATTCCAGGCATAGTACTCTGGTCCTTGGGCTTGGTGACAAGTTCCTTTACTAACTAAACTCTTTGATCAGACCAGTGAAATCTCTTCCGAAATATCTCATCTCAGATACTGAACAATGCAGCAAGGAAAGGATTCAGCAAAAGACAACTGAGAAGCTTGGACTATCTGAGGAGCCCTGGCAGCAGGACCATGACACAAACCTGGTGCATGAGCCAGCTTGTTGGAGCCCATTCCCTAGGGTGAGATGCCATGCTCAGTGGCAGTAGAACCATGATATAATCCTGGTACATGATCTAGCTTGGTGAAGCCCATTCCCTATGGTGGGAGGCCATGTTCAGTCTTAATGCATGGGAGAGGGGCCGGGCCCTGCCCCCACTTATTATACGAGGCTATGCTGACTCTTCATGGGAGCCCTTACCTGTGAGGGTGAATGGACTGGGAGTGGGCTCATGGGGGAGGTGGGGGAGGGTGGGAAAAGGCAAGGGGTGTGTGGGAGGAGGAGTGGGAGGGAGAACTGTGGTTGGAATGGAAAAAAATAAATGAAAAAAAGATTACACCTCATAAATTGGGTTCTGTTGCTTCTAAATAAATAAAGTAGCCCTTCATATTGGGAGCTCTGTGATGACTCAGAAAGTTTAAGGACACATTCTGGGGGGGTGCAGAATGGGCTCTGCCAGGCCAGGAAAGACTAAGTATTTGGGGGGGGGAGTGACCAGGCAACGAGGTGGGAGGGCAGTTTCATTATACACGTTCTGCCTCTGTCTTTAGCTCTGCGTTGCAGGTCATTTTCACTAGGAGGATATTTTTTTAGGAAGAATGCTGCAGGGGCGAAGTT